GTCACCAACATCGTTTGAAAGTGAGAGGCACATTAAGTCGTTGTCTTGTCATACCCCCTTAATCCCCGCCAACTCAATATCCACCCACTCTCTCTTTCTCTCTCTCTCTCTCTCTCTCTCTCTCTCTCTCTCTCTCTCTCTCTCTCTCTCTCACTCACTCACTCTCTTTTTCCCTCTCTCATTTCTTCACTCTCACTCTTTCTCTCTCTGTCTCTCTCTCTCTCTCTCTGTCTCTCTCTCTCTCTCTCTCTTTCTCTGTCTCTCTCTCATTTCCCCACTCATTCTCTCTTTGTTTCTTTTTCTTTCTCTCTCCCCCCCCTCTCTCTCTTTCTTTTCTTCCCTCTTTGTCTCTCTGTCTCTTTCTCTTCTTCCCTCTGTCTCTCTCTCTGCCTCTCTCTCTGCCTCTCTCTCTGCCTCTCTCTCTGCCTCTCTCTCTTTGTCTTTCTCAGTCTCTATCTCTCTCTATCTCTCTCTGTCTCTATGTCTCTCTGTCTCTTTCTTTCTCTCTCTCACCCTCTCTCTCTCTTTCTTTTCTTCCCTCTTTGTCTCTCTGTCTCTCACTCTCTCTTTCTCTTCTTCCCTCTGTCTCTCTGTCTCTCTGTCTCTCTGTCTCTCTGTCTCTCTGGTTGATTGCACACCACCCCTCGTCTGTGCTCAGAAATAGAAAAAACATAAACATTTGGAAGCGGAAGCCGCGTTGTCTCTGATTCGAAAGCGAAACTGCATACAGTTGCGAACGTGTTGTCTGTGCCTTGTTGATCTGAATTCGGAACCTAAGGTAATGATCAGATGGCTGTGGTGGTTTATTGTAGCTGAAAGCTTTGCAGTGTAGACTAGTATAGATCTATATCTAGACTCTAGATGATGTATCGTGTAGAACCAAACAAGACCCACAGAGTCTCCCGAGGGAGAGAGACCAGATCTAGACCTCCTTAGATCTATATATAAATTATTATAAATATAAATATAGATCTAGAATCTAGAATGTAGACCTAGGCCTAGGCTTGCCTCTCCTTCTTAGTAGTCCCTAACTTATTATAACTAACTAATGTCCACTGGAACTGCATGCAATGTACAGCTAAATCTAAGGTTTTGTTTGAAGTTTGATGGGAATAGCACAGCCTAACCCTAATTACTAATACTAATACTAATTTAGTAAAACAAATTTAAGCTTCCTCTATTACCGAGTATTGGCATTCACTAATTAATGACTAGATCTAGATTCTAGATCTAATGGCAATGTTAGATCTATCTCAGCTGGGCGCTAAATCTAGGGTTGTTTAGAAAAGCGTTTGATTGTATATCACTGTTTAGAAAAGCGTTTGATTGTATGCTTCCTATTACTATTATGTGACTAAGTGAGTAGGCCTAGATCTAGAATCTAGTGAGTTTAGACTCAACAGTAATACCCTTGTGGGATTTTAAAAAACCCTGTAATTTGTAAATTTATGTCTTAACGGTTTTAACTAATTAAAAGTTGGGGGCTCGGGTGACTAATCAACTAAGTGAGTAGGCCTAGATCTCGAACCGTCATTTCAGTTTGGGAAATTTTTCGCAGCTCGTCCGACACAAAAGCATAAGCCTAGATTTTTTGTCGAATAACTTTCGATCCCGTTTACTTTTAACCTAGATTCTCTAAACGGCACTCTTCGAGGGAAGTGGTCCCGGCTTAACACCATAGAAATAACACTAAGACTTGTAGTCAGAAACAAAAACAGAAGTCGAGTAAAAAAGCTGTCTTCGGTAATTTTTTTTCCTTACTTCAAGTTTAGAATATTTCCCACATTAATTTTTTAATCGGCTTCCTTTTTTGTTTCCGATTGCAAGTGTTATTTCTACGGAATAAGGCCGGGACTACTTCTCCCGAAGAGTGCCCTCTAAACGAGTGACAACCCCGTTTTGTCTTTTCGAGCAAAACTTTTTTCAACGTTATAGATTGGTGTGGAAGGGCACTTTTCTTAGAGAGGCCAGAATATTGCTCGATATGAGTCGGGCGGAACTATTTTCTTACGGATATTGATATGTAAATGGGACAAACTGATACAAGACCGGGAACGGTAGCTCGATAACATTAACAATCGGTGCCGTCTGTCTCAAGTCATCCGTAAGAAAATCGTGTCTTTTCATCGGACAGGCTACAGCACGGGCAAAAATAGTTTTGGTGTCGACGGACATCCCCGCTCCGTCCCTCATGTTTAAACCGACTGCGTCAGTGTCGTTCTGTAGGTATTAATTTTAAATAACGTTTCCAAGCCCTCTGACCTGGTAACCGTAACAGTTTTGGTTCTCTTTCCCCAGATCTCGGAATCTTCGCGGAGAGGAGCCGTTTGCCAGCGACGAGGAGACGGTGAATTCTCACGCATCCTCAAACCCGCACACACGCACGCACCAACACACACACACACACACACACACACACACACACACACACACACACACTCGCGCATACACACACACATCCGACCCGAAATAGGTATATTTCATTATCATTAAAACATTTCCAGTCGATATAAGTGAGACGTACATTCATATAATATAAGTGAGACAAATTATATTGTACGCACACAAACACACGCACATGCATGCATGCGCGCACGCTTGCACGCATGCACGCACACACTCAGGAAAAAAAGACAGGACGAGAGAGGGGAGAGAGAGAAAGAGAGGGAGAAAAAGAGAGAGAGAGAGAGTCAGCAGCACTTCCCGGTGTGTCCCGTAGGTCTGCGCTCATAGAAAAAGCTCACTTTGGGCGTATATTTTTCCAGTCTAGCGGAAAATACAAATCATCGCCAAACCTTTCGTGAAAGAGAAAAAAATATTTTGAAAATAAGGGGCAAAGATGTTGTCACCTCAAAACCCCTAATCCCCCTCTCTCCCCTCCAACCCACCCTCTTTCTCTCTCTCTCTCTCTCTCTCTCTCTCTCTCTCTCTCTCTCTCTTTCTCTGTATTTTATAATTTAACTCGCTTGGTCTTTTACGTTCAGTCACGGCTTCCATCGCCTTTCTTCGGTAGATTGCACACCACCCCTCGTTTGTGCTCAGAAATTAGGAAAAACATAAACATTTGCCAAGCGGAAGCCGCGTTGTCTCTCATTCGAAAGCGAAACTGCATACAGTGCGAACGTGTTTCTGTGCCTTGTTGATCTGAATTCAGAACCTAAGGTAATGATCAGATGGCTGTGGTGGTTTATTGTAGCTGAAAGCTGTGCAGTGTAGGCTAGTATAGATCTAGATTTAGATTTAGATTTAGATTTAGACTCTAGATGTTGTATCGTGTAGAACCAAACAAGACTCACACAGAGTCTCACGAGGGAGAGAGACCAGATCTAGACCTAGATCTAGAATCCACACCTAGGCCTAGGCTTGCCCCTCCTTCTTACTTCTTCTTAGTCCCTAACTTATTATAACTAACTAATCATAATGTCCACTGGAACTGCATAGGCTAGTATAGATCTAGATCTAGATCTAGATCTAGATTCTAGATGTTGTATCGTGTAGAACCAAACAAGACTCACAGCTAGTCAGCTAGGCTTGCTTCTCCTTCTTAGTACTTAGCTCTTAGTCCCTAACTTAGTATTTAATAGATGTAGTCTGTAGTGATTCTAACTTATGACCACTGGCACTGCATGCAGTGTACAGGGGTAGGACTGGTCTTTGTAGAGCTAAATCTAGGGTTTTGTGTATAATGGGAATAGCACACGGTGAGCCTAACCTTAATACCTAATACTAATACTAGATCTAGATCTAGTTTTCTAGATCTAGATCTAGAAGATTCTAATACTAATTTATAACTAATATTTAATAGGCCACCTCTATTCTCACCCGGAGTGAGAATAGTGCAGGCGAGTCTTGTGGCTATTCTCACCCGGTGCGCGTTCACCCTAAACCACAGAATTCTACACTGTGATAACAGAAAAATTGTAGAATTCTGTGCCGTGAACAAACGTTCCATTACAATTGTAGCCTACTAAAAGCGTACAATTTTGTCTGTGGGCAGTGGAGAGAGAGAGAGAAAGTGGCGACCCGCGTAGTTCGGCTCGATTCGAAAAGTTAAATAGCCATAGCATCTTTGTAGATTCGAAAAGTTAAATAGCCATAGCATCTTGTAGACAACCAAATTTATTTACTTTTGTGTTTTAACATCATTTTTTAACTATTCAGAAAGAGACGGAGAGAGAGAGAAGAGGGGAGGAGTTGATCTTGCGAGAACTTCCGGGCGGGTGAGAATCTAATAGCCACTTTCTATTTAAGCCACTTTCTATTTAATAAAACAAACGAAGTGGCTAGCCGTCTATCCGTACTTAGACTGCCAGTCTATCCGTACTTAGATCTAGGTTTGGCCCAATCGACTCAAGCCTGTTAAGTACACAGGTCTCATTAGATCTAGATCTAGATCTAGTAATTATTCAGGTTCAAATACATGCAAGTCAGTAAGGCACCTTTTGGTTTGTCTGAAATACAAATACTTTAGGCATTGCAAACTAAAAATTTCATTTACAATTCAGCCATCAATATTAAGTACGGCTAGCCTGACAGTCTAGCCGTCCTTAAGTACGGCTAGCCTGGATGTCTACCCGTACTTAAGTACGGCTAGACTGCCAGTCTAGCCGTACTTATCTTAGGCCCTATTAACATTAGAAAACAGGAGGTTTAAAATACATGCACTGTCATTAAGGCACCTGGTTTCGTCTCAAATACAAATACTTTAGGTACTGCACACTAAAAATGTATATTTACAATTCAGTAGGCCTATTTTTTGTAAATAGGTCAGTCTAGCCATCATATTAAGAATAAGTACGGCTAGCCTCTTCCTAAAACAAAAGCTTCACTAAGTAATGACTAGATCTAGATCTAGATTCTAGATCAAGATCTAATAGCAATGCTAGATCTATCTGAGCTGGGCACTTTGTAGAGCTAAATCTAGGGCTGTTTAGAAAAGTGTTTGATTGGAAATATCACTCGGTGAGCCAAAGGCTTAGTCAACCGAGTGAGAATCCTATTATTATATTATTACCGACTAATGGCATTCACTAACAAATGAGTTATCAAACTTCAAACAAACTTAGATTTAGCTCTACAAAGGCCAGTAATGGCAATGCTTAATGCTAGGACTTGGCTTTGTACAGCTAGATCTAGGGTTGTTTAGTGGTTGATTGGAAATGTCGCACGGTGAGCCGAACGGTTTTAACTAATTAAAAGATGGGGGTTCGGATGGCTAAGTAAGTGAGTGGGTCCAGATCTAGTGAGTTTAGACTCAACAGTAATGTTAAGCAAATGTCGGTGTTTGACACCGTTAACCAAACTGCCCTCTGGGATCAATAAAATTGTAATTTATAAATGTATCTCTTTAATGGTTCACTTTGAAGTCAGTATTCCATGAGTAAGAAACGCGAGTGATTCTTGAATTAAAAAGTGGAGACCTCGAACCGTCATTTCAGTTTGGGAAATTTTCTGCGCTCGTCCGACGCAAAAACATAGGCCTAGATTTTTTGGCGAATAACTTTCGATCCCGTTTACTTTTAGCCTCGTTTCTCTAAACGGCATTCTTCGAGAGGAGTGGTCCCGGCTTAACTCCAAAGAAATAACACTAAGAGTTTGTAGTCGGAAACAAAAACGGAAGTAGGGTAAAAAAGCTGTCTTCGGTATTTTTTTGTCGTTCGAATTTAGAATATTTTCATCCTGATTTTTTTCTTCATCGGGTGGCATTGTGACCCTGGCAACTCAAGCCAGCTTTTTTAATCGGCTTCCGTTTGTGTTTCCGATTGCGAGTGTTATTTCTATGGAATAAGGCCGGGACCCCTAATTCTCCCAAAGAGTGCCCTCTAAACGCGTGACAACCCCGTTTTGTCTTTTCGAGCAATACTCATTTCAACATTACAGATTGGTGTGGAAGGGCACTTTTCCTGAGAGGCAAAAATAAAATATTGCTCGATATGAGTCAGGCGGAACTATTTTCTTACGGATATTGATGTAAATGGAACAAGACCGGGAACGGTAGCTCGATAACAATCGATGTCATCTGTCCCAAGTCATCCGTTAAAAAAAGCGTGTCTTTTCGTTGGACGGGCTACAGCACGGGCGAAAATAGTTTTGGTGCGGACGGACATCCCCGCACGGAACCTCAATTTTTAAACTGACTGCGTCACTATCGTTCTGTAGGTATTAATTCTAAATAACATTTCCAAGCCCTCTGACCTCGTAACCGCAACAATTTTGGTCAGGTCCGTTTTCCCCCTTCTCTTTCCCCAGATCTCGGAATCTTCGCGGAGGCAGTATCATGTCTGGAGAGGAACAGCCCCAGCCGTTTGCCAGCGACGAGGAGATGGTGAGTTCTCACGCATCCACAAACCCACACACACACACACACACACACACACACACACACACACACACACACACAC